GTACAACTTGCCTGATATCTGACACCCCAGGTAACCTGCCTCCAATTGACCACATGCATTCCTTCGCATATTTCCCTCCCATCTCTACCCATTCTCTTTCTAACTTCCACTCAATTACATGTTCACAGACATGCTTGTTGTAAATTTGTTTCTTTTCTGTCTTGGAGAACACATAACACCAACAGAGTCTCCTTGTGTCTGAAGAAGGGCATTTATATCTAAAAGCTTGCAAAGAATGTTTCTTCAACTTTTTAGCTGGTCTAATGAAAGATATCACATCTATCCAAAGAACCTTGCCTGCCTAAGTAATTTTAAAGCACTTTCCCTCACCACTCCTACTTCCCAGCCATCCCAGGAAAAATGACCATACCCCAATCCCAATTCTAGTTTATTAAATCATGAGCCCTCCTTTTATTTAGTTATTCTTTTTTTTTTAAACTTTTTTGTTTTATCCATCAGTGGCTGACTTCCTTCATTTCCCCCATCCCCATTTCCTTTCACCTCCTGTTTCATTATACCCCATCCCATTCACTCTCTGCCTTCCTGTTCCCACCCCCGCCCCCAGCTTATCTCTTATACACCACCACCTAGAGCAGGGATAGAAGCCTGTCCTAGCTCACCAGCTCTGTAGCAGCAACTCGCAGCTGCAGCTTGACCTTGCACTAACATGGATTGAGAAGTTCAAAGTACACCATGTAACAAGTCCCTAAGAGAAAATTTACCCCAGATGAGCTTAACTGTATGTACACACCTTTTCTTCTGTTAATTCCCTTTTGTGTGCCTTGCACAGAAATCTACCATTTGCATTGTATATCTTTCTGCATCCAATTTGTCATCTACCATATGGTGCACTGGACAACTAAGTTCTGAACTTTTAGGTGCAGAACTTTGGAAATTATTTTCCTGCATGTAAAAGGAAGTCAAAAATACATTATTGAGCAGACATAACACCAGAGCATAATCATCTCCTACAAAAGAAAGCTCTTTTTGTTTTCCCAATGTCTTGATCAAAGAGATTTTTCCATTTTCATTGTAACCTAAAAACATAAAACTTCCCTTGAAGAAATGTCAGAAAAGTAGATTTGGCTAACGGATATATTTACTTTCTGTTATTTAACTTTGGGGCCTACCATTTTCAACCCCTACTTCAAGCTTTTTTATTTAATCCATTGCTATTTTTGCCTTAAGGCCAAATATTCTTTATTATACACTAAACTAAATTTGCTTTTATCCAAAACTACCATCACACAATACATTTCACAGCTCTGCTCACATTAAATGTTAACACAGTCTAAGGAGCTGTGGCAGGCTTAGCTTTGAAGAGGTGGGGAGACTGTGTTCCCCAGTGGCTGGCTAGTTTGCCCCGTCTCGTTTTCTAGCTGCTCCAAGCTGCCACCCGCTCTCTCCTGCCATACACTGATGGGATCAATTAAACAGGTGACATCTGGAGTCTTTGAGGTGGAGGGAGAGGTTCCTTTGGGCCACTTGCATCTCCCCTTTTATACTTATATATGCCCTGACCCTCCTGGCCAGGGCCTAATTTGCTCTAGCTTCTCCTTTCAGCCCTGGGATAACTTAGTTTGGCTCTGGCTCTGACTCTGGCTCTCCCATGGCAATGGCACATCTGGAAATTAGGTTCTACAGTAGGGCTCTGCCCTCCAGGTTCCCCAGCCTAAAAGGCGTTTATGCTACCCCCCTCCCAGTATATGACCTCTTGCCCTTCAAACATGCAGGGCACGTGCAAAGTGATCTGCACCTCCCCTCACAGTCAGTCCTGGTCTTCCAAAAGTCCATTACAAAAGAAAAGAAAAAAATCTGAACTAAAGCTTCTCCTGCTTTGGGGTAAGGAATGCAGTCTCAACTCAGAGCTTCACCCCATTGGCCTGCTATCTAAATCAACCAGGAACAAAAGTGAAAAACACAAAAAAACTTACTCCATTTTTACAGCTAATTACAGTGTCCATTTGGACCTTTTCTCTCTTTCTGGCAGAGACCATCCTGTCCTCTTAGGCTGGATCCAGACGTGCAGGCACATGCTGGTTGTGGCACCACAGATCACTTTACAGTGCCAAAAACAGCATGCCCAGCATGTTAAAACATGACCTGCACTCCAAATTTGCAGCACGGAGGCAAAATTTGCTACCAGGAAAATCCCACTAGCAAAAAAAAATTAAAAAGCGTGAGAAAAAAAGTGAGACAGAGCATACCACAGGACCATGCACTAGCAGACCTAGAGGCTCAGTCCTCCCAGGAAATGATCTGGCTGCTGCCCAGAGCATTTCCTCTCCTCTAGTTCTGCCCTGGCTCTTCCAGCATGCTAGGAGCAGGGAGGAGCAGGGAAATGACAATTTCCCCGAAGTGGGGCATTTTGTCCTGCACCACAGCTCATGGGCAGGGGTTTGCACAGCGGGAAAAAGTAGTGATACAAATTTATGCCACTACTTCTTTGCTGCTGCAAGGGCACACCCCTGAATGTGGGGACACACCCTTAGAGGTCAGGGTTTCACTGCCCCTCCAGCCAGCGAGGTAGCCTATTTAACCCCTGATCCCTACCCATTGCAGAACCAGCCCAGCCTATTAAGCTGACCTGAGCTTAGGGGCTGCTCCTTATCTCAGCCTTGCCAACTGCCTTTCTCCATATCAGAAAAAACCCTTCTCTGAAAGAGCCCTTTCCAGTTATGCTGACTTGAGAGCCCTCCCCCTGTAATAGGGGAAGGACTCCCTGTTACACAGCTGATAGAATTTGAACTGGATTTAATAATTTCATCCTGTACTTACAATGTTGGTGTTTTTTGTAGTATTTTATTATCCTTCTAATGCCGTGTCTTCAAATGTATTTACGTAAATAAATACTAATTATAATAGTAAAATATGGTAACATATTTCCATTAATTTGACATGTTAAAAATCCAAAGACATTGCCTTTCTCACTCCTAAAATGTTCAGTAATGGCATTTTTATTATGTTTTATATTTATTTGCATAAAAGCAAAACACTGTGAACATAAAGGAATACAAGTATTACAACACAAGGCCAAAAATGTAGCTAGCATAAGCAAGCATGTATTTCCAAGTTGCTCCTACTGACATTTCCTGGATTTCTTTATGCTAGTAGCTATTATATTTGGTTATTTAGCCAAACCTAATAAGGCTAGCCCTGTTTATTTTCCTAGCCAAAGTCTTAAAGTGGCTAAATTAGAAAATAAGAACATAAATAACTGCAATCAAGCTAGTCATATAATCATAGATCATAGAGAAGTAAGACTTGAAAGGACTTCAGGAGATCATCTAGTCCAACTGGGGATTGAAGTGTATGTTCTTTGAAAAAATATAGTTGCTTTGACACTATGATATAGCAGTCTGCTTTTATTGACAATACATTTCATTATTAAGTAAAATCAAACAATTTTCCTTGAGTAAATCATTTATAAATCATGTACTCTGTTTTAAAAGTAAGTCACATAGTACTGCAAGGGAAAAACTGCACCCACTCTTTTCTAAAATTCTCTTTACATTTTAATGTAGTTTTTACAGAACATCCTCATTGTATATTCATTACAGAAGATGTCTAAGTAAGCTGATGGAAACTGTTCTGTTTGCCAATACAGGCTGACTAGAGTTTGAATTAGATCTCAATATTAGCCCCTCTCAGTTTCCTCTTGCATGGTCTGTTAGCTGTATATTTTATATGAATCACCATACAGTTTTAAGAATAATGAACTGTGATCTCTTTGATCTCTCATGTGGACCACTACAGATCCAGAACAAAGCCAGTCAAGTAAATGAATGTCCACGGGTGTAAAATCAATGCTGAATCCAAAACCCACTCCCTAACTTCACCTTCTCAGCCGTGTTTTTACTTCTATGAAGTGAAAGTCTCCACCTGAATCTTTGCCTTCAAAAGGGAAGATGGATAAAAATATCACCTTTGTCCCAAATTCCTTTAACCTTCTTGCCAGATCCTCCCCAGGTCTCCTATGCTACAGGAATAGTGAGTGCATCTATGTGTGCACCTATAGTTTCATAGTTTCTAGGGTCGGAAGGGACCTGA